CAAAGAGACAGAAAGCAGACTGGTGATTGCCTAGAGCTGAGGTGGTTAGGGAAAATTGGATAGTGACTATGGTGAGTACAGAGTTTCTTTTTGACATGATAAAAATGTTCTAAAATTTATTGTGTGATGATTGCACAACTCTATAAATATACTAAAAACTTCTGAATTGTACACTTTAAATGGGTGAATCTTACAGTATGTGAATTATATCATAATAAAGCTGCTATATAAAAAAGGAGCCCCAAGTTCAATATAGCACCCTAAGTAAAGCACTTATTTACCCCAAGATGCATACAGACTTAAGCATTCATCTATAATGATCATTATAACTGATACTTAAAAGCCATCTTTTTCTCGTACATTAAGAATAATTAAAAATTTTATGACTAGGATAATACATTCATTTTCTGGTACTTTTCTATAAATGTTTTTCAAATTCTCTCCCTTATCTTTAATAGAAAGAAACTCAGACAAGATGAAAGTGCTGGGAACCTGCAGGACAAGGGGACACTGAAAAGGTATAAGGAACACAGAAAGAGAATTCAGGATTTCTGGATATAAACATGCTTATTTTTCTAAAGCTGCCATATCTCTATTAATGAACAAGTGACATTAACTTCAAAATCTGCAAGACATATTATTTGGATCAATAACAATAACTCTTTAAAAAAATACTTACCCCAGATCTGTAAGTGGAGGCTTATCTCTTCCTCTTCTATAGCAAAGGTAAATCTGTGGCCCCACAAGACTTCCATTATTGAGATCAGCTGACAATCCAGTTGGGGTAACATCAATACACATATAATCCCGTGGCACTTCCTCTCCAAGAGATTTAATAACAACTGAAACATCTGTGATAGGTTCTTTTGGTTTAGCTACTTTATGACAGGCATCATTGAAGTGAATTTCTTCTTCAAGAGGCTTTGAAACATCAGTTAATCCTGCTACAACAAAGTAGTCAGCAACACGAGGCCCCTTATCTTCAATCATCTTCCATTACAGGAGGTTACATCTAAAAGGAAAGTGAAAGACTAGTATTCTCCTATAATAAACCAAATAAATATAAGAGGTTCGTATGCAAATAAGAACAAAAAACTACAAAAAGAGCATTATCTCCCAGAAAAACACATTAGTATTATACATTTCACTTTGGTATATAAAAAGTATGCCTTTTAAAAAAATGGGAATATATTTAGCATTATTTTCTGATTATAAAAGTAATGCATGAATTTCCATTTTTGGCAATAAGGAAGCCTAGATTGTCTAATAGACAACAGCAACAACAACAAAACACACCCTTTTAAATGCACAGATTAACTTGTAGGAATGTAAGGGAAATTCTCAGGGCCCAAAAGCATTGAGGAGACCAAAGGCCAAAATGCAGTGTATAAGCTGATACTGGTGGGGGAAGTTTGTTATCTCCTCAGTAATCAATGGTTTTGTGTTTTAAAAGACATTACAGACACAGGAGACAAGACCTTGGGACCATATAAGATAGGGAATTGGAACTGAGACACCTGTAGAAAGCCAAGAGCCTCAAAGGACTACATCATCAGTTAAAGAGTAGATTCTAAAAACCCATCCACTAGTACAGGGAGAAAATAAAGTTTGCCTCAATCTGGGCCCTGCATTGGGGGGAAAAAGTCTCTGAGAATTCATAACAATAGGCCTACTCACACTTGGATTTGAGGTTTGAACTTAAGCCATCTGCATGGTCACATGAAGCTCCAAATTGAGATATTAACAATAAAAGTGTTCCCAGGCTAGTGATATCCCTGGGGAAGCAAATGCAAAACAGTGCTAGAGGGTACACCCTCAACCCAGGTTTTCCACAGATAAAGCCCAGCCGAAGATGACCTCTTATTCCAAAACTACAAAAACACAGAAAGAAAAATCCACCCTGAATGAGTCTCAGCAGATACAACAAACAGAAGAACTTCAAATAATAAAAGTAGAGCAGAGATTATAATAGTAATGCACGCTTATAACAAATTCAAAGAAAAAATACACAAAGTAGAATCCATCATGCATTTGCAAACATATTAATAGCAAAATCTCCTTCAGTTGTCTAGTATCACTTAAACCTTATTTGCTTGTTTAACCAGGAGAATACTCCACCACAGTTACGTCATTACTTATATAACCATTATAGGAAAAAAGTTTAATCTAAATCTAAAACAGAAATTTCCCAACGTGTCTCATGTTAGACTTAATTCCAATAAATGCAAAGAAAGGATTCCACAGACAAATAAATTAGGTATATATACTACATGCCTCTTCTGTATTTACAATATATAAAAATATTAAAGCTTCAGCAGTCCTTTGATAAAGGTACCTAACTTTGCTTAACTCAGGATTTCCCAAGTCTATTTGAATAACGAACCCTATTTTCCCACTTAAAAACTAGAAAAACCCCTCGGAATATGCTTCAGAAAATGCTAGTTTAAAGTAAACAGCCTTCCTTTATAGACTATAAAATACTTGAGGGCAAAGAAATTCTTATGTAGTATACTTGTTTATAATATAATTATCACCATTTTCATCATAATCCCAAAACTCATTTGATTTTCTATATCACTAATGTCAAGTTTTCAGAATTCATGCCACATTTTTTGGAATCTGTATCCATTGCTCAAATATACTCTGTAAATATTCCCTCTTTTTGCTTACAAAACAAGCCTAAAGAAGAATCATATGTTCCTACTTGTTTTATTTAGATATACATGACTCCTATACAGCAATTTCCTTACACACAAGATTTCTGCACAAAATAAAGGGCTTAAACTTTTCAGAAATGCCTCCTAGACTGACAGTAAAGAGAAAGCACTAACCTGTCCGTCAGAGAAGACTCTGTTAAATGTTGAACAGTCACTCTCAGCTGACTGCATATTAACAGGTGCTCCACAAAAAAACAAGCAGTTTTATCCAGTTGACTATTCATTTTTAAAGAGTAGGGGGAAAAAGGCCCTTTTTTAAGCACTTTTGTATTGACATAACTTTTTTCTTCACTACATTAAATAGTCTTTGAAAATAATTTTTTAATGCCTGCATAGCATTTTATTTTATGGACACACCATTATTGATCTATTTCCTTAATGTTGATCATTTATTACTTCTACTTATTTTGCTAATATTTTTTAAATGCTATGATGAATAACCTTGAACATAAACTTCTGGCTACAACTCTTATTAGTTCTTCAGGATAAATTTATTGAAGTAGAACTACTGGGTCAAAAGTTACATAACCAGCCTCTATTAACTGTCTATGTGCTTTTACCTGTACATGAATTTTAAATTATAAGCTCTTGATAGACACAAGTCTTCAAAATTACCTTGGTAGAGCACTTTCCTTTCATCACAGTGAAGAGATTTAAATATTTTCCTTTTTCCTAGACTCTAAATTCATGTTATTTAAACTATAGCATATAGTCACTATTGCATACCATAAATACAGTTTTATGTCTTGCTGTGCAGAAAGAAGAGAAAGAGAATGGAAACAATTCCTTCATGAAAACATATATTTTTAATAAGTTCTTTTGAAAGCTACTATCTTAGCCATTAAAAATAAACAGCTACTATACTAATAAGTAGATATTTGGGAGAAATTTGTATGAAAAATTCGTTTTTGTTCGATTTTCCTGGTTCACAAATATTAATAATTTGATCTCATTCACAATTGAATACAGTAAATAACTACTAAAAAGAGAACAAGTTATTGTTCTTCATCAGTATATATAAGAAAAGAACAATCAATTTTAAAGTGGTGACAACATACTCTTACATTTATTGACAGAAAAGTAAATTATACATCACTCCAGTTCTCTTGCCTTGTTGTTGTTATTGTTGTTTTCCATTTATTCTTTGGGGGAGGAGAGTGATTAAGAAGGTAGGCAAAATATTTTAAGGCACAGTTGACAAAGTATACAATGCCAAGAACACAGCTGGCAACATTCCAGGTGACTTCCTGAAACATCTAAATGCTCTTTAATTCACTCAGGAAGAGTCTATAATACTAAAAATGCACTCTGCTTTTTAATTTAAATCAACTGTTTTTAAAGTAAGTTTGAGGTTTAGAAGCTGGGGGAAGACACTGTTAAAAATTCAAGGCAAAGAAAATATGAAAATCTTTAATATAGAAATGAATAATTAATAATATTTCTTAATAATTCCATTAAACCAAGAGACTTCCACTGGCACATAAAATTTACAATCCTCATGGAAAACACTAAATGTATATTAAGACAAAATGCCTTGTGTTGGCAAGAGCCACCAAAAATTACTTGGGGGGCTGGCCCAGTGGTGAAGTGCTTAAGTTTGCACGCTCTGCTTCGGTGGCCCAGAGTTTGCAGGTTCGGATCCTGGGCTCGGACCTACACACCATTCATCAAGCCATGCTGTGACGGCGTCCTACATACAAAATAGAGGAGAATGGGCACAGATGTTAGCTCAGGGCTAATCTTCCTCACCAAAAAAAAAAAATTTACTTGGAAATAGCATTTGAGAAAAGCAGTCCTAGTCACACATAAAACTTGGACTTTTAGTGTAGTACATCTGAGCAAAAACCTCTAAAAAAATTAGAAGGTAAATTTCTTTTCTTTCTTGGGCGAGGTAAAGTTCTTTAAATTCATTTTTGGAAACTGGGGACCACACAACACAAGCATTTAATCCAGTAGTTCTCTAAATAATCACATATATATCACATAATATAAAACCCTGAAATAACTTTACTCAAGCTGAAGTAACAAGAATACTACATCATTAACCAATTACTGTTTTTTAATTCTTGTTTGTTCAACATGATATGGATAACTTAAGGAGTTAGCTCATAAAATGTTTATAGGCATCTTCTTAAAATTTCAGATACCTGCTTAGCTAGTATTTCACTTCAAATGACATCTATTTTCTTTGAGAACAGAAAACAAGAAGAACGTGTTCTCTATTCCTAAAAGGTTCATGAGAACTAAATTGAGAAATCATTACAAGAAAGCTCTTACCCAATTCAGCAACTAATGGAGACTGTTTTTCTCCCTTTCAATCTCTGCCCAATCAATTCAGAATCTTTTTTACTTCCTCTATCACTTCATTAGGTCAAAGTAGTTAATAAGCATTTGCTACCTAGGCTAATTCTAGGGACAAGAAAAGGCAAGAGCAGAAATCAGAGCTAACATTTTAAAGATAAATGAAAAACAAAAAATCTGAACATCAAAGTTTTACAAAATTGTAAACTATTACTGAAGTGGTAAAAGGAGCAAAAGTCTTTCGGATAGGGCGTGATAAATAGTCACAAACTCAAGACATATAGGAAAATGGTCAACAACACAATGGATCAGTTCAAGTGCCCCTCATTCCAGTTCACTTAAATAAATAAGCTAGAAGAAATTTTCTTTTTTTTTTTAACCTAATGTCACAGTTAAGAACCTAATCTAGCTCATCTTTTCTTACGTTATCAAAACTAAACTAGAGATCCTCATTCCCATCTTTTCAAACTTCATCTCTCATTTTTCTTCCAACCAAGGTAATCTATCTACTATCCTTCAAATAGTTTTACTCTTTTTTCTTTGATGATACACTATTTCCTCTTTCTAGTCAATATATGTTTATCATATTTTTCAAAAGAATTTAAATTTATATGAATTTTCATTTAAACTTTATAAATTGTACAAAGTAGCAGAAAGAAAAAGAAATTCAACAATCCCATTCACAACAGTAAATCTGGTTTATATTTGACAATGTTTTCTAGTTTTCTTTGAGAATAGAAAACATTCTTCTAATTCTCATGCACAGTATAATATAGAATATAAATATCTGCATTTTTATTTATTTAATACACATTTTTCTAAACTGCTATAATCTTCATAATTATACTAAGTGACTACATAATATTCCATCAAATAGAAATATACACTATAACCAGAACTCCAGTTTTGCATTCCCAGCTAGTACCCAAAGTATGGTAGGTAGATACTTAAAAAATACTTGTTAAATGAATGAATAGTTCACCTTATAACCTTCCTCAAATCATATTATACCAAACATAATGTCTTTTTAATATAATTCAGAATCAATTTTCTGAACCTCAATTGATGAAAGTAATAGCCTCTGTCTTCAAAGAGTTTCTTGTTTAGTTCTATTTTTCTACATCTCTTTCTATATTTTTATTCCACCTCTAGCCATCTTTTATCCTATCACCCTTCCAGATTCCAAGTGCTTGCCTTCACCCTGTCCAAAGTTTCCCTACCAATCTCTCCCCAAAAGCCCCATGCAAAGAAGTGATCCCAACCTTACTGTCCGTTTCTCCTACCTCTTTGAAAACCGGCGCTCTTTTAGCATCAGCATTCTACGAAGATTTTGAAAGGAAAGAAATCTTATTTGTATATCATATTTAACAGTAGGTTGACTTTCTTTTAAAAAGGTTTAACCCACCCAAAGCAACCTTGACTTTTTAAAAGTTAAGTTTGGGTTTATTAACCCAAACTGATTGATCATGTGGGGTTAATTTCTTGAGCAAGACAGGGTTACTTGTCTCCTACTCTGCTTTGGAACCATCTTCCCTCTGAATACGTATTCTCAAGCAAAATCCAACAAGAAAAATCAAAACATAACTGTGCAATTTTACAGCTCCCTTTTGAAAGATTATCAACCCTGATTTATTAAAACAAAAGTTAAGATAGGAATAATAGACATTTAGAGGGCAGAGATATAATTATTAGTCATAGCCTAATATCTCATTTTACAGCCAAAGAAACTGAAGCATAGAAGGTGGCTTACTTAAGGATACCTAGCTAGTTAGTGGCAGAGCCTGGGCAAGAACTCTAGTCCCTTAATCCAGTATTCTTTACATATGACGATGCTGCCTCTAATAAATGGTGTTGAATTAATACTGACCCAGGGCACATCTTAAGACATCTTCTTTCAATAAGTTATTTTGTGTCACTTGCTACTCATAATCATTATGTGGTGAATATATGCCAAATTCTTGTTAAGAGATCTGGTAAATTAACATTTCACTATGTTTAATACAGAAAACACAAACACATAGAGACAGAGATTGGACTGGTGGTTACCAGAGGGGAAGGGCGGGGAGGAGGGTGAAAGGGATGATTAGGCACATGTGTGTGGTGATGGATTGTAATTAGTATTTGGGTGGTGAACATGATGCAACCTATGCAGAAATAGAAGTATAATGATGTACACCTGAAATTTATACAATGTTATAAACCAATGTGACCGCAAAAAAAAAAAAAAGAATAAAAAAAATCAGAAAACAGCTAATAGAAACAAATCAAAATGAAAAACAAAAACTACTTACACATTACTGAAGGTCTCTCTTTGAAAATGTTGCCAGATCTCAATTTCTGAATTCTGCAAGCCTCAGAGTTTGAGATATAATACTGTATTGAAAAGAATAAGAAGTGGGCTTAAATTAATTCCAATCAAGTATTTCCCCCTTAGATGCCTGTGGATACTTAAAGTTCTGTTAACAATGATAATTTTTAAAAATACAATTGCATATGTTGTTTTCATATGGTTAAGAGCCAATAAGTAATTTTCAAACACCAGCTCTTTCAGAAAACACATTTCAGTCAAGAACAGATACACGCTTAAAAAAAAAAAAAAAGGCGGAGAAACAAAAGAATAAGTTGAGGGTACAAAAGAGTAAATGTGTGCGGAAGCAAGGAGTCTGAGAAAGAAAAACATGCCTATTTCTGGGGCATCATGTATAGTATCTCATTCCTAGAGAAAAATACACACATTTAAGACAATTTAAATATAGACTCAAGTAACATCCATGTACATAACATATTTCAAAGAAGTCAATACCTGAAAGTTTTTTCCCTGTATTACAAATTTTTTAAATACTATTTAAACAGAATCAGTTATATCAAATCCTTAACAAAATATGACCGGGATCTCATCAAGGAATCCAGGTCTTCTGACCAAGATAACAAGCAATGTTATATTATGGGCTTCAATATGCCATTATTATACTTTCCTAAAATTGAGTAATTTAGTAAGTTGTAGTTATGAGTAATTTTAAATCCCAAATTGGAAAGAGGAGGCCACTGACATAGTCTTAGACCTTAGCCAGTCCAACTGGCTTTATTGTAATTTTAGCTTTATAATGCTGGAGACACACACACAAGAGTTTTAGTAAGAGTCAAAAGCTTTTGCAGGAAAGCAAGTTGAAATGCAGTAATCACAAGAACATCAAGAGGAAGAAACCACAGCTTTAACCAATATGGAATATCTACTAATGACAGGGAAATAGCAGCAGCCACAGATACCAGATTTACCTAATTTTGTTAGTCCTTGATATGTGGGTGTCTGTGGGAAGTGGGAGAGAAGGCGGGAAAAGGCCAAATTATTTGAGTCAAGATTTGATAGAGTGTCTTGAAATGGAATGGAGAAATAACATAACTACAATCTTGTTACATTTTGGACTGCTAAAAATGGTCAGGATGGATATATGTGTTTTAAAAATTCCACCTTGACTCATTGAAAAATTTCAGTCAGTAAATACAACGTGGTATATATATTTTTCAAATATTCTTAAAATCTTATTGCTGATGGGTAGCAAAGAGACAATGTAAATACTGACCTGCTGAAACATTTTTAAAATTCAACCTCAGATTATCACAAACACTTTCTAGTTGAAATACTCTACGTATATAAAAACACTTGCAAGTTTTGAAAATTACAGCTCCATTTTATTGGTAGAATATCAGGCTTGTTTAGATGCAATTATTAATTATGAATGTGCTATACCCAATTCCAAATAACATTTTCTGCTACATAGAGTTTCTTAATATAGTAAGAACATTGTTTTGACCACGACTCTATGCGCCACTAAACTTTTTTTTTTTTTTTTTTTTTTTTTTTTTTTTTCCCCCAAAGCCCCAGTAGATAGTTGTATGTCATAGCTGCACATCCTTCTAGTTGCTGTATGTGGGACGCGGCCTCAGCATGGCCAGAGAAGCGGTGCATCGGTGCTCGCCCGGGATCTGAACCTGGGCCGCCAGTAGCAGAGTGCACGCACTTAACCGCTAAGCCACGGGGCCAGCCCTCCACTAAACTTAATATTTATTTACTACTCAATAAATAAATAGCGCTTTCTTCAATGTTGAAAATTTTAGATTAATTTATAGGAGCATTCACAATATCAAATATTTCATCTCTGACAGGATGAACTTCCAAAACCTTTACTTTGATTCCATGAATTGTATGAAAAAATTGACCCATTATTAGAATTAACTGATTTTCTATTACTCGGAAGATGAGACTGATAAAAAACTTAACACTTAACATTTGCAAAGTTCTTTTTTTGCTAATGGAGACAACACAGCACAGCTACTGCTTCAATTTCCATACATGCATAAGAAAACTTAGAATAGAAAATGAGTAAAATCTATTTAGTAGAGCATCCTTTGATGTAAACGGAAAGTCATGCCCACAAAGTGATGTCAGAGTGCTTCCTGCAGCTACATACATTAAATTATCTTTCAGCACAGACTCCTTTAAATTGCTATTATTTTTAACTGAACCTTTTATTTTGAGATAACTGTAGATTCACATTCAGTTGAAAGAAATAACAGAGATCTGATACACCTTTTACCCAGTTTCTCCCAATGGTAACACCTTGCAAAACTACAGTGCAATATCACATTTGGGATATTTACATTGATGGAATTCACCTATTTTATTGTGATTTCCCCAGTTTTACTTGTATTGTTTTTATGTGTGTGTGTATTTAGTTCTATGCTTTTTTTTTTTGCTGAGGAAGATTTGCCCTGAGCTAATGTCTATTGTCAATCTTCCTCTTTTTGCTTGAGGAAGACTGGCTGTGAGCAAACATCTGTGCCAATCTTCCTCTATTTTGTATGTGGGTCGCCGCCACAGCATGGCTGCTGATGAGTGGTGTAGGTCTGTGCCCAGGAACTGAACCCGGGCCACCGAAGCAGAGCACACCAAACTTAATCACTATGTCACAGGGCCAGCCCCTAGTTCTATGCAATTTTATCACGTGTGCAGCTTCACGTATTCATCACCAAAGTCAAGATACAGAATAGTACCATCACAAAGATCCCTAGTGTTTACCTTTTACAAGTATGCCCACCTCCCTCTCCCACTTTCCCTGCCACTGTCCCTAATCCCTGTGAAGTGGTATATTTTTACCAGAGAGCACATACAGCCTATGAAAGGAAAAGACAATGTCTCCAAAAGCAACATCTCCCTTACAAAATAGGTGCAGAAACAAACCAAAGAAAAAAGTATGAGCATATATGGTGGGGAAAGACTTGTTGGTGACATTTGCTCAGCCATATGGAACATTATATTCGAGCATGATTATACAAACATATGAATGTACAGACATTGGTATGAACACAAAAGATAAGAAGGACAGAGAGTGATCATCTCCTAAATCACAATGAAGACCAATTTCTGTAGTTCTGAGATAAATTTCCTATCATGGATAAATTCCAGACAGGAATCAAGTGGACAACATAAAATAATGCTACAGAACAACTACAATGGAGATTCCTAGATGTATAAGAACATAAAAAGGGGCAACTCTGCCCCTCAACCAGAAATTAGGTTGGAACTAAAGTAGCTACTATTCCCTTGAGAATATGGATCTGGTCTGGAGGGAACAGGAACAGACTGGAAATAACATTTAGTTATTTCCAGGAACCCTGTCTTTTATTTCTTTTGATTCCCTCATATAAATTATAGGAGTTATAAACACATGGTAGGTGTGTAAATATTGATTAAATGAATGAGGTCAGCACAACAGAAAAATGGAAAACTGAAGACATCACAGATTCATAGGATTTTAGAGCTAGGAGGTTCTTAGAGATTTAGTTTCAATTCTTTTTATAATTGAATAAATTGAGGCATCAAAGTTAAACAGCTTGCCAAAGACCAAATACATCAATTTATGACTGAATCCTTATGGCTTTTAATTTGGAGTTCTACCATACCATACTTCAATTCAAGAATGGAAGAGAAGAAAACAAGTCCCTGGTGAGACCTGTGTGTTAATTAGTGGACCTCGGCTTTGACGGACAAAAACAGTTAATAGCGAAGTGGGAGAAGTTAAACTGGCCGAAGAGAATGGGGCAATTAGCAGGTATGAAAAGGAATGGATGACCAAAAATAAGAGTAAAATAGAAAAGGAAAGAGGTTAAACAACAAGATACAGCAAGAAAAGGAATAAAAAAAGATGAGGGGGAAAGTATAAAAGGAATAGAAGTAGAAAATAATGCAGAAATGGGAAGGAGAAAAGTGAGAAATGCTTAAAAAGGAATGGGGCAATGATATCTGGAGAATTTTTAATATTATTTACATTCTTTAAAGTTAAGAAACTATGAGATTGACCATTCCTACAGTGAAATCAGATTCCCTATAAACTGACAATAACAACAAAAATCAACTAGCAATCTTGTGCTGAAAATCTGTTCCTATTCAGCACTGTACATGAAATGCAAATATATGGTGCTTACCAGTCTAGAGTGAAAGGGAAGTTTCATTTTAAATTTTGTCTCTTGCACCATCTTTTTTCTTTACTTAATTTCCTGTATGTATACCACTCCCACATCGCAAAGTTCTTACTTCCTCTTTGAATTATCATAAGCATCTGTTACCTAGTACCTAAATGAATTGTTGCCACCTGGAATCTTCCCAAATGTTTCTCTCAAACAAACAATATCTGGTTTTTCTTCTCTATTTCACAGCCATACACAAGCTAATCGAAATAGTACTCATTGGGGTGATTAAAAACACACTTACTTAAGACAAGCAATCTAAAATTCAGCTATATTAATATATAACAAAAATGAGATCCATTGATTAAAAATATCACCTTTCTTGAAAAGTAGATATACAAGATTTATAGTTTTGTCATTTGATTAATGTTGAACATTTCAATTTCTTAATTATTTCATTTCACCATCTATTTAAATATACTTTAAGCATTTTTTAAAATCCCTTTCCACTTTTCCTCACAAACTGTAACAAATAACACATTTATTTGTTAATAAGCACCTGAAAGGGACTTTGAGAATTAATACTTGAAAACAACTTTGAGAATTCTATTATTCCTCCAGTTAATGATTGATATAATTTTTTTTACAATTTGTAGGAGTTACTAAATGATCAAAGACTACAAACAAACAGTTCATACGCAAGGAAATCCAAATACCAAAATGCGCAGAAGAACTGTTAGCCTTGCAAACAATTAAATAAATTAAACTTTGAGGTACTACATCATATCCAGTAAATTAACAAATATGAATAAAAAAAATTAAACCAAATGCTGGTGATGCTGTAGGGAAATAAGCACACTTAAAAATTATTAATGGGGGCTGGCCTGGTGGCGTAGTGGTTGGGTTCA